GATTTGAGACTTTAGTCTTTGCAACTTTACAGATCTTCTTTATGCACCAAGAGCTTGTAACACTCCAAAGAGAAAGGCAAAATTGAAATCGCATCATATGACCCCTTTAAATTGCTCTTTTGTTATTGGTCTGATGTATTGATCTGATCGGTTTCCTAAAGAGGCTTTCTTAGGAGTGTAGAAAGATGGGCAAGTCTGGTTTGCCTTTGGGCATCCATACGTGGACATCCATAGAAGACATAAAGGTCATAGCTGTGGTCTAGCGGTTAGTGCATGTGCTCAGACTTTGTGGACTTTTACTTAAGTATCCCATTCCACCTCTTCATCGCTTCCTTTTTTCTCTCTCTCTTCTATACTTATAAAAGAGAAAAGTGGCAAAAAGTCTAAATTAGCAGCTGGAAACGGGCGTTTGGGGAGGTCGTTCTTGTCAATCAAAAGCGCTGACACAATCACTACCTGAGCTGGTGGAAAAATACTCCTCTGAAACACACAAACACACTCCCTCTAATTCGTTATCGGTCAGGTCATTTAAAGCATATAATCCTTTGTGTTCAAACACTTTAAAATGCATCCAGCAATAAGAATAAGAGTACTGGCCAGGAGCAAAATTGTCTACGGTTTGCAGTACTGGTCATTTGTTTTAGCGCTGCTGCCAGGCATTGAGTACTTTGTCGAAGAAGGATAAATAATCTCCATCCATCAACCGCTGCCTGGCTGCTAATGCCTGCAGCGGACAGTCTGCACTGCCCATTATGGTGCCAGCTTGCTGTGGGTTCAGTGGTGGGCAAGTGTGCCAAAGAAATGGACTGAGAGAAGAGCAAACCCTGGAAAGAGAACAAGCTTCCTGCATACAGACAAAAACAATGGACACATGCCACTAGCTTGGACCTGAAAAAGAGACCCGAGCCAAGCAGTTGCAATACATTATGATATGCAAGATGCCAAGATATAATTTTGGAAAAGATTAGCTATGATGAACTACATGAAGATTAAGAAACATGATGAGAAAATATGGGGAGAAAATGAAGCTGAGAGTATCTTGGGTAAAGGAACGCTTATCTGAAACAATCACTTATTAGGCATGTTGTGCATTCTTTTGCATTGCACACACCACCAGAAGTTTTTGCATGTAAATGTTTAGGGTTTGTATGAACATTCAGAGTGAAACAATGCTGGCTTGCTTTCCTGCGGTCCATAGATGGGCATGTCTGCCAGAGACCAGAGACGAAGAGGGAAATTTGCTAAATATTTTTGTCTTGGTTATTTAAAACCTTCGCCACAAACGGCAGAGCCAGAAGCCGGTCCAGAGGATAGGATGTCGACATTTCCACTCTTTGACATTGGCAGTTTGCACTTTAGGTAACCTATAAATAATTTAACCTCTGTCGCCTTGCTTTCGATCTGTCTCTGCCTCTCCCCTCTCTCTCTCCGAGTCACGCAAACAAAACAAACACCAGTAACAGGCTTTGGATTCAGAAAGTCACCGAAAAAATTGCTGTTCAGGTTGGGAGGGTTGAAAATACTGTAAATAAATAAATAAATAAATACTTTTTATACTTCTATACTATTTATATTTTTTATATAACTTTTAATAACTAATGAAAGCATTCACTTCACAATCATAGATGCATTACTACCCTGGGTGTGAATAAAATTTTCAGTAATAAGAAAGTGG